TCTGTATCTCTTTTTTCTCTTTCTCTCTCTCTTATTTTTTTTTAGTTAAAACGGCATACTAATTGCATTCTGAGGTGCGCTTACAAGTTCGCAGAGCTTTTCTTTGACTTTTTTTTATATGAGATGCGATATATTTTAAAATCGATAATCAAATACACGGCCGGAGCGGGTGGAAGGAACGATTTTTGGTGTTTTTTTTTTTTTTCTTTTTGCGCTTCTATAAATCTATCTATCCTATGTACTTTTTTTTTCTTTTTTAGCCGCGACGGTCAAGTGCCATATATATATTTATTTATTTATTTATTTTTTTTATTATATTTATTTATATAATTTTTTGTGTTAGTATTTTTTAATCGGTACTTCGAACGCAGCACGCACAAATTGGTTTTCCCCTCCTCTTCTCTTTATATATCGCGAATTATTACTGATTAACAGCAGCGATTACATATTATTTAGACATGGCGTGCTCCATTTTTTTAAATCTCTATTTTTCTTTCTTTATTTATTTAATGTTTATATATATATATATATGTATTTATATAATATACCTCTTCTCTAGAATTTCTTTGTGATGACGTCGTTAATGCGATAATCGTTTTTCGTTATCGATTTCTCTCCCCATCCTCTTCTATTCGTATTGCTCTATCCATTAACGCGAGAGATCAACCCCCCCAATATTATCCGATTTTTTCTTTTCTTTTATTTTTTTCATTTCCTCCACTCTTTCCCTCCATCTTCTCAATTTGTTTCTCTAATATTATTTATTAATTCCCTAAAACCGATTCGTTCGACATTATCGACATGTCAATTATGCATTTACCATGTTAATACTTATTAAATATTCTTTTAATTATTGTAGATCACAGACAACTTGTTCTTAATCCATAAAAACAATTCAATTATTATTTCTTTCCATAGATTATTAGTGTATATATTCGTGTATATTCTGTGAGTATGTATGTATGTATGTATGTATGTGTGTGTACACGTGTGTATAGATGTTAGTTGGGCGTGATAGGGTGTAACAAATTTTCGTACATATGTGTACATATGTTCACGTGTTAAACAAATTTTGCAAAAATGACGTCGCGTCGAATGAGAATCACACGTGAGATCATCATCTCAGAGATATTTCGATGGTTATGTGGAACACGTTGAAAATTATTTATTTCTAATTACAGATATTTTAAATATTTTTCGGATCAAGCACCATTAATAATCGTCTCTCGTCCTCTTTGGCGAGAAAGAATGTTCTTATATATATTTTTCACTATGCTTCGCTATTTTTTTCTTTCTTTCTTTCTTTCTTTTTTTTTTTTTTTTTTTTCGTCCAATTGTAAATCGATCGAAATCATCCAAATCAGCGATTGTATTTCGAGTTTTCAAGGCGTGGAAAATCAATTTCAATATAGGGGAATACGATTGTTTGGTCGATGTTCTGCTTAATAATAATGCGACACGATTAGATAATAACTTAGAAAATAACACGGAATCCAATAAGTTACATTTTCTCGCAAGAAAATTAATTTAACCGAATAAACAATTCAACTTTCAACAGGCGTATATTCTTACTTATAAGTCTAGGAATACTCTATAGATACGTATGGACTAACAATAAAATAAATGTTACGATTACAAAATAATACTTGATACTTATTAACCCTCTATAAATATCGAAAAATCCTTAAAAAAAAAAATTATTCCACGATATCGTTACATTAAGAAATTCACGACAATTCACAAAGGAACGAATAGAACTAATCGAAAAATTACTACAAGAACAATTACTACTTCAAGATGCCGAGATTCAAGGGATGTGTGTGAAAAATTATTTTAGCATCAATTTTTGCCATCGATTTCAGGGGTGAAGGTTCGCCTGTCCTGCGCCACTCGTATCGATTCACGCGCAGCAACGAGGCCGCGAAAAAACTACTGTTACTTGTTTCACCATCTGCGCAAGTAACACCCTGCGCTCCTTTGAGTAATCACAGGGATGAATTTTCGTTTGAGCTCGCCGCGAGCTAGCCAGCAAAATCTATATTTTAAAAAATGTTGCGTGCAGCGTCTGCCTGTGCTATTTGTCGTTTTTTATTTTAACAGAGGTAATAACCAGCGGGAACAAATCTTTTCGTTCCTTCCTATCGACAAACGTGACCCGATCCACCCCTAAAAAAAAAAAAAAAAAAAAAAAAAAA